TTTATTACAACATTCCAGGAGAACTACAATGGCGGACAGACACATGTGCGCACGTCCGAATGCGCGGACCGAACCAACCCAACATAGGGGTGGCGATGGAACAAGCTTCCCTGTGAATGCGACCCAAATATAAATTGTAACAACCTTAAACTTTTCAATTTTGAGGTAAACAAACCTGTATTTACTGCCCCTTTTTCTATCCCAAAACATGTGAGTAGTTCACATGAGCCTTGTTTTGAGTTGTAAATTGTAGTAAATAGAAAAATATCTGCACATACAGGAGAAATACTGAATGGAATGTAATGAAGCAGTACTGTACTATTGTAGTCACGCTTCAGTTTCCACACAAAGAGAATTAACCGTTTATGTTTCTTGTCTATCATTACATGATTGACACATAATCTAGATGTAACGTTTGGTGGTCAGACTAATAATGTGCCAAAATACATTATGTGCCAAAATGCAGTATGTATGTCAACAGCTTTGTACTTCCGTCAACACCTTGCCCGTCTGCCAGTGTTAATATACACCACAAAAAAGAGACTCGACAAGCGCAGTTAACCCACATGTGGGCTGCCGTATTGTCTACCAATCAAGGTCAGAGTCGGTTATGCGCATGATTAGAATGGTTATAAAATCAGGACAGAGGAAAGCGAGTCAGACAGTTAGTTGCACACAAGTTCCTGCCAGCCTTCCTTCAGCATCAGGTCAGAGTCTGCCTTGTGGTTAAGTCATTGAATTATGTAAATGCACTCGGAGGTTCTGGGTTCAATGCCCTGGCGGACCACAACGTTGTGCCCTTACGAAAAACCATTTTGCACCTCTGTGTGTGCGTCTTTGTGTGCGTGTGTCTGTGTGTGTGTGTGTGTTCGTGCGCGTGTTCGTGCGCGTGTCTTTCTGTGTGTTTGTGTTTGTGTGTGTGTGTGTGTGTGTGTGTCTGTGTTCGTGCGCGTGTTCGTGCGCGTGTCTGTCTGTGTGTGTGTTTATGTGTGTGTGTGTGCGTGTATGTGTGTGTGTGTGTGTTCGTGCATGTTTCTGTCTGTGTGTGTGTGTATGTGTGTGAGTGTGTGTTTGTATTTGTGTGTGTGTGTGTTCGTGCGTTAGTCTGTCTGTGTGTGTGTGTGTGCGTGTGTGTGTGTGCATGAGTGTGAGTGTGTGTGACAAGGCTCTGATTTAATTTTTTGTCTTTTGCTTCAAGCCATTCGTGTATTTCATTCATTTTATGTGTGATAGTTGCTTTGTATATGTAATGTTCCAACTGAATTAAAACGTTCGTACAATCAAAAGGTTTATGATGTCGAGATTTTGAAAATGTGAGAATCTTGTTTATTCAAGTCAAGTTCATTACGCAACAATTGCATTGGATACAATTTATGGCATATAACACTTAATAACTATAAACCATTCCTACTAGTGTACTAATCTATCTTCAATACTTGTATATATGTTATAATGGACTGTTACATTTCACATCGCTGTGACAAGGTCTCTCTTTTGTATAGCATTATGTATATATCGGCCTAGATAAACGGATACAGAGTCGGGGCATCATGCAATATGTTTAAAATTTCTTTACTTGTACCAGGTAGTGTTATTTTGCTTTTTTCGCCCTATCGCATTAGAATTGGAGTCTGCGGAGGATGCCATCCATACAATGTTCTTACTTCGGCCTTAGGCCACAACAAGTAAATTTTATGGATGACGTCCACCCGCGCATTGATTTTGGCCTGTTCCTAGAAAAAAAACAAGAATTTCCGCTTCCTGTAACTATGACCAAAGAGTCACGATAGTGCCGCAAATCGTTAGCTTGACGTGAAACCCGTAGAAGACAGTGTCTATTACCATCCTGTTTTCACTGTCCACGGTTCCACCTGATTTATTGCTGTTTTGATGATGAATAAAAGACTTATTGCTTGTTACACTGTGTCACCTCAATCAATTCGTGTCCTAACATTTGTCGTCTCATAGTAAACCGGATATTTCTAATCTAGGCATCTTGCTTTTTAGGGCCCTTCTCGTTTTTCTTTCGCCCTCTCGCATTACATTTAGGGTCTCCAAAGGACGTCATCAATAAAATTTATTTGGTGTGGCCTTACCAGTAAATCCTCAGGGCCGACTTCAAAAGAACAGGATTTTTCCAAGCCAGTGCTTTCAATTTGCATCATTTATATAATTCTTTTGCAAAATTGGGGAACATTCTTGCCAAGGCCACATCAATTCAATTGGTTGTTTTTTTGGATTTAAAAAAAAAAACAGTACGGTTCTGGCCAAGAAGGTACGAAATCAGTTTTAGTCTAGGTCAGAGGGAAAAGTCTGTGCCTGTACGTAACAGTTTCTGGGAGTGAAGGCTAGGTTACAACAACCTTGTCCCGGTCCGACCCCCCACATTCCGACACTGCTATAGTTCGACACTTCCATGTTCAGACAACCCTCTATTCCAACACCTTCCTTTGCCGACACTCCTATTTTCCAACACCCCCATGTTCCGACACTCCTATTTTCCAACACCCCCATGTTCCGACACTCCTATATTCCGACACCCCCATGTTCCGACACTCCTATTTTCCAACACCCCCATGTTCCGACACTCCTATTTTCCAACACCCCCATGTTCCGACACTCCTATATTCCGACACCCCCATGTTCCGACACTCCTATATTCCGACACCCACATGTTCCGACACTCCTATATTCCTATACCCCCATGTCCCGACAGTTCTGTATTCCCCCCCCCCCTTAGGTACCCCCTTGTTCTGACACCCCGTTGTTCTAACACTGACATGAACCCCAGGCCTATGTTCTGACAACCCCGATTCTATATTGGAACGTAGGGGTATCCTCAGGGATGGATATGGTCATATGTAAGTAATTGTCCCATCCTGCTATTTCGAACGGGCCCTGTAAACCATGCTTTTCACTTGAAAACGTCAGATCTAGAGAACCAGGAAAATAAGTTGTTGTTGCCAAGAGGACTGTTTAGGTAGGAAATATGTATAACTTTTAATCAGAGCCAGAAAAGTGAATTATATACTACAAAGAAGGGTTCTACGCAATCAGGATTATGATGATTTCAACCATTCCGTCAGAACGATCAGTTACAAATCAAGTGGCTTTGTACATTAATGAAAATGCCGCATTGTTTTGGCAACAATTACTCACCTGAGGAAAGCGGCCTAGTTGGAATGGCAATATCAGAACCTGACTTTCATCTCTTCTAAACATACAGTATCAAGTCTGTATCAGTTGAACAACTTTAATCACAACAAGCTAAAATCTAATTCTACTCACTTGATGGAGCAGAAACTGTGTGGGCATATATCTACAGTTGGGGAACGAACCGCGCAGTTGTACAGTTGGACACGCCAGGCACAACACCCACAAGGCTTCATTGGCTTCTCTTGGACAACTTGACTTCTAATTACAACCTGCAAGAGCTTGTGTCTGGATACAGTTCTTTAGGACACTGTTTGCCGGGTAAGTCTTCATCTTACATCTATGATATTTATCAGATTCTTTGATTTGTAAAAAAGGTGATAATTAGTATTTTAACATGTAAGAGGCCGTTAGCTATAGCCTGGCTGTCATCCGAATTTGTAACGGCTCCCCCGAAAAAATCGAAAAAAAGCCGTTACAAATTCGGATGGCACCCGGGCTAAGAGGCCATAGCTTCGCACTGTAAAGTATCTGAACTTGCAACCTTCAGGAAGCTTCACAGGCAAAGACATTTGCATTCAGTTACCTTAAAAGTAGTTGTGTATTTACTGACGGTGCAATCTTCAAGTAAGCAGTACTGTTTAAAGGTGTTGAATGAAATATTTACGTTAAGGACATCACATACAGTAGCAAGACTGCAGATTTAGCGTCCAGATTTGTTTTGTAGATGCGTGAAACAGAGGATAGGGCTTTTTCTATTTCGATTTATTTCGAATAACAAGGAGATGAGCTGGCTGGACTGCTTACAACTTCTAATATGGGATTTCTCATGGATTTGTGGTGGCCAGAACGTGCTCTGAAAATTTAAAAAAACAGACGGGCTTGCGAATTTAAACTTAGATCTTCCATGAGGACAGCCATGTATGTGAATAAGATGTCGTTGTAGAATGTATACCCAGTACTGAGGAGATTCCGCAGTGCTCGTTGCGGTATATGCTCAAACGTCCTGGTTTGTTTTTCCGTAATGCTTAAAGAAACTGCTCGAGTTGGAACCTAGAGGTCCCGGGTTCGAGATCTGCACCAATCTTGTGCCCTTGGGAAATGCACTTTACACGACTTTCCTCACTTCGCTCTGTGTACACGAATATCGTATTGTCCCCTTTGTTGGTGGGGGCATTGAGATGAGTTGAAAAAAAAGGTGAGTCTGTTCCCACCACGTCTTGTGATTACATGTTGGTATTAAAAATGCATATTCCAGAATCGGACGGATGTAAACCGTAGACCCAAGCCTTTTATTTTTGTAATAAGATTCGGGACGTACTTAAGAGGTTTTTCTTGTAATGGGTTTAACATGCTTGTCCCATTTGAAATTCACCCTTTTTTTCTTGCTGGCGGCCTTAATGGGGGTGGGGGATGTATCCCTACTGTGTTCTTCTAAGGGAAATGGATATCAATTGTGCTTTAAAGTATTTTGTAGAGAGTGCCTACTAGTAGCTTTGTGTGTTTGTGGCAGTTATAACGCAACACATTGGATGGCATCCATCGGGTAAAACATACAGCATTTAAATGTTTCAAAACAAGGGAAGTTGAATTTGATTTAGTGTTGATAGACTTTTGTTTTTTTAGTGTAACAAATCATTTACTCAATAACACTTAAGGCCAATTTCAGGTGTTTTATATGTAATTTTTAAGTCAAATTTGGACTCACGTTTAGTTGGCTGTTACGTTACTTGAACTATTACTTGGCGCCATCGAGGATGAGTTGAACTTCAAGTTTTCCGTGACCAAGATCCTGAAATGTGGATGACTAGTACTTATTTTGTCCGTACATATAGTGTTGTTAAGGATATGTCTTTCTAGCATGTCCTAATAGCAAGAGGATGATAAACTTCACAGATAGCCAAATTAGTGACATCTGTTGTATAAATAACACATATTTGTTACTACTGCACGCATCTACTGTTACTGTATTTTAACAGTTATCCTGAGTGTCAGTTTGTTTAGTTAATTAAAAAAGGAGTAGCACTTTCTTAGCAATGTTAGATTTTTTGGTGATATCTCTGACCAATATATTGATTCAGATCATGTTCATCTATAACTTTCTATTTGTTCAATGGATGTTTATTCTGTATGCTTGTATCAACTATATTAATTCCATTTCTAATTTTTTTAGCATTCAATTTGGTAGATTATGTATATGGTCTCTTGAATTATGCATACTTTTTCCTGCTCTCCTTGTTAGTATTACAAGCGAAAACGCAGGTTAGGCGTATAAGGCACAGTAAGACTAAATATAACTTCATTAATTTATTTATTATTTTATTCGTTTTTAAAACATAACCCATTACAAAACATATGCCAGGCTAATACATATACCATGGTCTTTCGTTTAGCTTGGAGGGCCAATTGGTCTAGAAGAGCCCATTAATAGATCAACAAAGCAGAAGGACCCAGAGGAAGTTTGTTCTACAGCACTCAACTGTGAAGAACACAAAAGGTGTGCAAGACTGGTTATGTTTATATATAGAGTGTGTATATTTGCCTGTATGTTTGTTAGCACACATCTCTGTAATAATTTACCATCTCACCTGAAATTAGCCAGTACACTCTCACGTTTCAAACAAATATACAGACAAGTGCAAATTCCTCATTTCTCTTTTCATTTATCTGATTTTAAATAATTGATTTGTCTCAATATTAATTCATTGTCTGTGATGGTAGAATCCATAGTTGCAAACTTTAGGTTAAGTTTCCACACAAAAGGGAAGTCACCATGAATTTTCGTTCGAGCTCGTCAACCTTCATCAGATTTATGGTACAGTCGCTGCCACCGTCACGGTTCAGAGGGGTTGATGGGCCCTGAGGTATCACTAGACGAAAACCGACGTATCCGGGTCGTATACTCCCGTACACACGCCCGGAAATTCCAAATATACGGACATTTCCAGGTGTGCGCGACCCGTACACTTGGCGTGTGCGGGCCCGCACACGGCCCGGATATGAACCACTCAGGTGTCCGGGCCATGTACAGGCCTGCACACGTCTGCACACGCCACCCGTAAATCTCTGCACACACCTGGATAGGTGACACGTACCTCTGAGTGTGTGTATGAAATATGCATAAATTAGCGGTAATTTTCACCTATTTATCTTCCTCATTATCAGCTCGTGTACGGGTCG